CTTTAATGCATCAGAAAATTTTCAAATTTCACATGCAAAATCTTTATAACCTCCAGATAATTATCAAATGTTTTTTTTATAACCTCGTACCCACCATAAAAATTAGGAAATAAACATAAATTGTGCTTTTTTTGTTCTAGAATTACTTTTCACATGAAAACACAAATGTTTAGTCTCAACAGCTTAAATCTCATAACATTATATAACTATATATATTTATTATTTTTATTATATTGTCCTTTCAGCCATTCCTGGCTAACATTACAGAAGCTGCAATAAAGTGTGGCGCACGTGCACTCATGTTACCGTATCCAAGAGTATAAGACTGGCCTTTATAAAGTGACCTGTCTTGGCTGTGTTTTAGTGGACTATTATTTTGTAAAATACGGTCCCATTTCAGTTATAATACATTATATATGTATATACATTACTGCTATTTACAAATAAGTTCTTAAACTTATTTTTCTTAAAAGATAGAACAGTAAATAAAGAAGTATAGCAAACAATTATCTCTTCTAGTTATGAAATTTGTAACCGTTTGTTGCTGGCCTAAGTTGCTAACTAAGCCTTATCAAATTTCACACGTGGAGGTTGTGAAACAAAATAACATGAAATTTCAAACTCACTAATGTCTTACCTTGCCACTTTGAATCTAGCATGAAAAGAAAGAGTTTTCTGCACAAATACTTCACAGAGGCAGAGAAAACCACTAGGGGAATATTCTGAGCGTTCAATTGATTATATGCACATGATTGGGCAAAGTAGGTGTACGTGAGAAAGTATTTTCAAAAATTGAAGATGTGGGTGGGGCCACATTGGTTGATCTAATAAATATATTAATATTGCAGAAAACAGAAAAGATAAGAGGTTCTTATTTTATGTTCTAGCTTGCTAATATCAGTAATTTCAGTATCTAATTCATAAGAAACTACAGACTTTGTATTTGGACATCACAAACATCTAATTTGAATCAATGCTGCATTCAACATACTACGTGACACATGAAAATTGATATTTTGGTTGTTTTTAATATTTACTTTTAAATTAAGAAATTAACTAATATATAATTTGAATTATAATCTATAATTTGATAAACTTATTGACATACATTCATAAAATAGTAGTTCAGTAAAATTTTGAATGCGAGTCAATAAATGAGATGACATGATCTTTGACCAATATCGGTAGATTTAAAGGGTTAAAATCATTTTGGAGCCTCTCTACATCACTACAGTCCATGTTGAAACATCCATTCATGCTCTATCTGATGACCATGAACCTTAATAATAGTCCTGCAGCATAGCTTATACTACAAAAGGCTCAATCGTGATTGTCATGCGAGTTGCTGATTTGCATATACAAAATCATTTTAATATCATATATTCAACTTTGTATTCTGAAAGCAGGGGAAAATGGGAATGGAAAAATTGTTTTTTTTTAGTTTATTACATAATAAAACAACTTGACAGAGCAATTTAAATCAGAAATAACCATGTACCCCTTGAATAGTCACTGGCTCATTCACAAGTTGTCACAATTACCTATATTCATAAAAGACCATAACATATAATTTAACTCTTTACTTGAACTTCTCATGCTAAACTATTTTTAGCATCTTTAAGGGTTAGAATAAAATATATATATATATATATATATATACATTTCATAATTTAATCTGTAAAGAAAAATAAATAAATGGTTGCAGTTTTCCTACAGCTCAGAACAAAAATCATCTTTCACAATGATCAACAGAAAAGGTTAACTACCAGTTGAAGGTTCAGACATCGATAGATTACTGACCAATATTGCTAACAAAATATTTATATTAATGAGCTGAAAGCTCACAAAACCTAGCTGGCAACAGGTGATATCCTTAGTAGTTACGAGTTGAAGAAAACAATTATCAGGAACAAAACTTTTGCTGAGGCTCTATCCAACATATTCTGGAACTGATCTGTCAGCAATCCATACATTTCCTTCATTTAATTTTTATTTACTCTTGCAAAAAGCAGAAGAATAAAATTTACAAGAGCATATTATACAGATCACAACAAAACACAGTCAACAACAAAGACATTCAATTAAAAAAAGTATTGACTATTAAGAGAAAATGTCATATTACATAGATTATCAAACACACTGAATAATCCAATCATATTGGAGAGATTACGAAAATTTTGCAAAACCAATGCCAAACTAACTGTTGTTTCAGTTTATCTATTAAGTTTATTTCTTCTCAAACTAACCAATTTCCTATGTGCTTACCCACAAATTGAACTGCAGCTAATAAAGATTAGATGAGAGCAGGTGAAATGTAATAAATGTTTGAAACATTGCTTCATAACCGTTACTTGTTCATAGCTGACACAAATTTTCTTTTTTCAATTTTTACAGCACTGAAATGAAATTTAAGGGCCTTTCCAGACCCAGTAGAGCAAAATTATATATTCTCATAATTTTCCCAGTTCCCAGACCCCTATTAAGATGAAATAAATTCTCACAATTTAAGAATTCAAACTCATAAATAACTATATCTTACATTTATATCAGAGTGATTGATCAAAACACAAAGTGCTGGAAGAAGTTCACTGATGGTGTCCTTTGGTGGAGGTGGTTCTTTATTACGACAGAGATTGACGATGACCCATGTGATATTTCGAAGAAAAGAAAGAGGAATATCTGGTTTGATGAACAACAGCAGTGGCTGAACAACACCTAACCTAATAACATAATCTCGGAGATCAGGACCGTCACCTAAAACATCAAGAAATACCTTATCTTCCGTATGAAAAAAAATAAACCAACTTTTAACCCCTTGTCTTATGTATGAAAAATATAAACCAATCTTTAACCTCTTCCAATTTGTTTATCTTATGTTGTTACAGGGGCAAATCACTACATTAAGTTTGAAAAAAAAATCTGTCTGATCTCTTCTTTTAAATTACTTATAAAATAAAATTAGAACTGAAATTTTCAGATTTTAAACATTCTTTTTTGCTTTGGATAAAATAAAGAATAAATCCAAAATCTTAAAGCTAATTTTGATTTAACCCTCTCAATACAGGCTCAGTGAATTACACCAACCTCATGACCTCAAAATGACCATCAATTTCCATAGGATAACTTTTAATCTTTTGCGTAGCTTCACAAAATTTTTCAAGCTTTTAGCAAAATAAAAAAAATCAGAATTTTAAATGAAGAATTTGCCTGTGAATATATGTAGTTAGCGTTTACTGTTCCGAGTGCAAAGTGATTTTCACATTATTATTAAAAATACTTTTCTTCATCTGAAAATTGTCAAATTTCATTTGCATAATCTTTAAAACCTCTTAAATAAATATCAAACTTTTTCAGAAAATTTTTTATATTTTATCTATTTTCTGTAGCCTATTTCTATATGGGGTTGGTCAATTTGACCAACCTTGTAACTACTATATAAAATTACGAAACAAGTTTAAATTACCATTTTATCGAAACAAATTACTACAAATTGTAAGAGAAAACCACAATTGTTTATCATAAATAGCTTAAATCTTATAACAGTATACATCTATTTATACTTAATTTTGTTTTATTGGCCTTTGAACCATGTCTAGCTAAGAATCCAACCACACAAGTTGCAAATCACCCAGCAAAGGTGCAGCTCATGTAATTGTATCAAATTATCTGTGAAGAATTTTTATCATTTTTCATTATCTTACCTAAGCTAAACTAATAAGTTTTTACATTTTAGTTACTTTGATAATAATAAATAAAGAATACATATGAAAAAAGAAATATAGTACTTACCTGGGTCTTCTTTTTTTGTTGTTGCCAACTGTCAATGAAACTTAAGCCTAAGTTTTTATACTCATGCTACTAATACATTAAATAATTTTAATCTAAATAAATAATGGGTATCATTTACTGCGCATGACACAAAGTTTTAGTGTCTTACATTTAAAATTTTATTAAACTACTTATTGTTTATGTTATACCAATTAGAATAGCATAAAATCTTAGCTAATAATCCATATTTTAATAGTATATAAGTTTTAAGTTCTTAATTCTATAAGGCAATATAAAAAAAAATCCTGAATTTCCACTAGTGTGACCCACGTAACATTTTCTCTTAGCATGTCATCATCCTTATTTTATCCACCACCCATCAAAAAAGTATGAAATTAAATGTAAAATACTCTATAAAATCATTATTGCTCAAACAAACCATAACTTTTATAGCCTTCAATTTTGTTTGGTTACAGAGCTATTGAACAGAAAATCAGACTCCTCCTGCCACACTCACCTATCACATCTTCTCTTTCAGAATTCGTTGATAGGTCTCTCTTACGTTTCATTATATATTACCTATAACCAATAGAAAGTCAAGGTCTTCATCTATCAAATTATGTATTGTACAACATTATGTTCTGAATGGTTAAATGTCAATTTCACTCAGAGTACTAACATCGTTCCCATGGGAAAGTTAACGACTAGCTTGGATCAATTTGTAATGGCTCTTGTTGCATAGTTAGAAAGCTAGAATAAATTGTCTTCTTTTTGCATTTTATTGATACATGTTCTTTGGTACATTATTTAATTAAATATAAATTATTTGGTGTATTACTACCATTAGTATAAAAAATTAGGGTTAACTCTCTTAGAAAATCCTGACAGCAAGGAAAAATAAAATTGGGTAAGTATTTTATTTCTTGTTTTTCATACTTATT